AAAAAAACTACATGTGTCAATATTATCCAAGATTTTTTGTAACAGTTTTCCCATAAACAGTTCTCATGAACTTACTACAATAAAAAAAATGCATAAATACATACAAATGATAAAATGCTAGCAATAAAAAAACACTTGATGTTTGAATAAGCATGTGGAGGCCATGGGGTTCCAAGATAAAGAGTTAAAGATCTCTTTCTAATAAAATAAAAAAATAAAACACATTTTTACAATTTTTTTAAGATTTGTTATTTTTTTATACAAGAACTGGGGTCCAGGGTCTCCTTGGCGCAGGCGGTTGAGCGCCGCACTGTGAAGCTGTCCACAGCCTCTGCAGCATGGTTCATTCTAGCCAGCCAGTGAGAATCCCACATGGCACAGCAGACCTCTCCTGCCTCGCCTGCTGCTCCCCTCAGCAGTGTGCTTTTTCAGTTTGCAGTTCTGTTCCCCGCTGTCTCTGGTGAATCCTCTCACCATCCCCGCGCATCTGGTCTGTACCCCAGCTCTTGTATAAATAAAATAAAATCTTTAAAAAAAAAAGAACTGGGGTCCAGTCAGAGGCACAGGAAGGTGAGAGGATTCACCAGAGATAGAGCGGGGAGCAGAACAGGCAGACGGACCGAAGACACTGCTGAGGGGAGCAGCTGGCGAGAGAGACAGGGCACGTCTGCCCCGCCATGTGGGTATCTCCCTGGCCGGCTGGGTATCAAACCCATGCTGCAGAGGTTGCGGACAGCTTTAGAGCGCTGTGCTCAACACACTGTGCCACTGGGGAGGCCCAATTTTTATATTCTTATCATTAATTTTATTTCTTAACTCAGTCATTTGTTTTTATGAGTATTGTTGCATCTCCTTTTAGCTTTTCTGAGGGATTTTTTATATCACTTTGACAACCTTAAGTTTTCTTCTTTCAGTTTCTTTCTCCCTCCCTCATTTCCCTCTCCTTCCTTCCTTCCTTCCTTCCTTCCTTCTTCCTTCCTTCCTTCCTTCCTTCCTTCCTTCCTTCCTTCCTTCCTTCCTTCCTTTCCTTCCTTCCTTCCTTCCAGAAGAACTGGGGTACAGGCCACAGGTGTGGATGGTCAGGTGAGAAGATTCACCAAAGACGGAGTGGGGAACAGTGGATTGACTGACGTACACAAGGGTAGCAGCAGGTGAGACAGGAGAGTCTGCTGCGCCATGTGGGTTAGTTCCCTGGCAGAGATTGAACTCAGGCTGTAGTGGTGATAGTGCTGAAACTTAACCACCAAGGAGATCGCTCTTTGAATTTCTTTATTATAGCATATTTCATTCTGTATCTGATTGGCAGGTATAGTCTTCCATGTCTTTGTAGTTTTATTCTGGAGAGTTGTTTGAGAGGATTCACCAGAGCCAGAGTGGAGAGCAAAACGGGCAAATCTACTGAAATACCCTACTGCGGGGTGCTGCAGGAAGACAAGAGAGGTCTGCTGTGCCATTTGGGTCAGCTCCCTGGCTGGGGATGGAACTCAGGCTTCATCTGTGATAGTGCTGAGGTTTATCCTGAAAAGAGTATTGTTTGCTTGTTATTGAGTTCCAGTTCATCGGTATTTCTTAGGTCGCTGGATATTCTCACAACTACAAATAGTCACAAATTATATATGCATACATATGTTTGTATGTATATATATATATACACATATACATACCCTTGTATGACAGTTTCTATATATATCATAAAGAATAAGTTATAGCTACTCTTATTATTTTGAATAATTTCTGAGAATTTATATTGTTTGACCGTAGATTTCATCCTCACCAGCACTTGTTGTTTCTGGTCGTTTTGATATAGAGCTCTCACAGGTATGAGGTGGTATCTCCTGTGGTCTTGATTTGCATTTCTGTGATAAGGATCATTTTGTCATATGCTTTCAACCTGTGTTTTAAAAGTCTATTTTTTTCTGCTCTCCCCAATTTTTGGTTTAGTGAGATTTTTGAAAGTTACCTTTGTAATTCCCTTACATAAGAAAGTACACTTAGGTTTTTATCATTTACAAAAATTATTCCTACTAAAAAACAATTATTTTTATTTTTTTAAAGATTTATTTATTTATTTATACAAGCACTGGGTACAGTCAGAAGCACAAGAGGGTGAGAGAATTCACCAGAGCCAGAGGGGAGAGCAGAACAGGCAGAGTGAGGAAGTACACTGCTGAGGGAAGCAGCGGGAGGCAGGAGAGAGGTCTGCGCGCCATGTGAGACCCTCCTCGGTGGCTGGGTATTGAGCTGGCGCTGCAGAGGCTGCAGGCAGCTTCGCAACCCAGTGCTCTACCGCTGTGCCACCGGGGAGGCCCTAAAACACAATTATAATTGGAGGAGGAATGAATGAATGGTGGTAAAATTTCAGTCACTGGAATGACAATATGGTTTAATATTTTTTTTTAATCAGTGGTAATCTAAATAGCTTATTTATAAGAATAAAATTGAATGCAGGAATTTTAAGAATTAGGGAAGAGATATTGATTAGTTAAAGTACTGGTACTGATGTTTGCTATATTATAGAAAATTGGAAATGTAGTGATTTTTTTAGAATAATAAGTGACAAACATCATTAAATACTTATCTGTAATGGAATAATGACATGAATTTTTCCATTATAATATAAATGATATAATAAGGACATAGGGGAAAGTATATAATGTCAAGATTTATGAATCTTGCTTTATAGTAGAATTTAAACATCTAAGGCAGTTTTAATAAGTCTTATATATATCATAAAGAGTAAATTATAGCTACTTTTATTATTTTGAATAATTTCTAAGTTTTCAGTATTTATGGTTGCTATGAAAACAAATTACAAGCATGGGTGTTTAAGAGTTTTGTTCCCTGATACATTTCAGAGGCATATGAAAATGACAACTATAAACCCATCCTCTCCTATAGTCTGCAGGTGTGTGATGAGGTGAACTGTCTTCAAAATAGCCCAATTGTAACAATTTCCTGTTCAAACTGCTAATGACACATTAATGAGAAATCTACTTTTTCCACTCTTGCTTCACTCTGAAACTGCACAGGGCAGTTCTCAAGATCACAGATCAGAGATCAGAACAACAAGTGCTGGTGAGGATGTGGAGCGGAGAAAACCCTCCTACACTGCTGGTAGGATGCTCTGTGGGCCAGTCCCTGTGAAAATCAGTATGGAGGTGTCTCCTCCTTCACTCAAGGATGCACAGCTTCCTCGCCAACAGAAGGTATGTGTTGCTCCTCTCCTCTCTCTCTGTTGGTCTGTCTCTTTAGTGGAAGTTTATGAAGGTTAGATGTGAGGCAATTGCTATACAATTCATATGCAATCAAATCAAAGAGAACCTTGTTTTCTTTATTGACTAATTCAGGTAAAACAGAGGAAGGAAATGAAATATTTTGAGGATTTCTCAAAATATTTGAATTATTTCCAGACAGAATTAGTCAAGTGTTTAATACTAGTGCATGATTAGATTTGTAAATCAATGCAATTTAACTTGAAATTTCACCAGATCATGACAAATAAGATTTGATTTTGGAATTAATAATCAATACAGATATAATTCTATATATATTTTTTGTATTTAGCTCAATCTTTAAAATTAGACTCTTAAAAATTAACAAAGCATTGTACAAGGAATACCACACTAATAAAACAAACGCCTGTCTAATGAGTTAAGTTACATGGTATAAATGTTATGTAATAGGAAAAACAGTGATTGTGTCAAAATAAAAATGAAAATAAGGAATGTATTATTGACATCTTACAAAAGTCATATTGAGTATCAGGTTTACATATATCTTAGATATTCCCATTTCCATTTTAGGTTAGTAAACTAAAATTAAGTTGAAAGACTCAATATAACTTTTTATTAATTTTCCTTTTTTAATAAGTCAAAATTAATGTGAAACTCAGTAAGTATCAAAGTCAGAATTAATTCTAGATCCCACTCATTACAGGCACGATTGACCAAATTACTAAAATTATGAATTTTAATTGATTCCATTACTTGCACAACAAAGGGAACATTTATTAACTTGGATAATTAATAGGATCTTTCTAGAAGTTATAACCAATAATGTTGTTCCAATATTAATGAACCAATAATGTATGTATCATTTTATGTTTTTCTCTAGCTATTAAATCAATTACCAATCTCTTGTATTACTTAAAATAATATTTTAAGTCATTAAGTAATAATATTTTATATTATATTTTGTATTTTTAAAATATTATTTTTGGTTGTTTTTTTAAATATTGTTTAGGTTTGAGACAAGGTTAGCATGCCATTAACATTAGCCAATATACAAAATTTCTTTAAAATTTTAAAAATTTCTCAGATTATCACAATAGTGAAACTTATTTTGAAAGAAAATAAATTGAGATAATTGAATAATACCCCATCCCCTTTTAATAAATAAAAGTAAAGGATGAAATAAAAACAACTAGTTTGGGAAATGCTAACAGTATTTCTCCAAATTAGAACATTCAATATTTAACCATTATTTTTAAAACTTGACATAAAAATGGCTGCATCATTTTTTCTAAGCCACCATTTTCATTTCAATGCAGTTACACAAGTGATTAAGATGCTCCGTGGAATATGACTTTTAAAATTAATAAAGATAATATTGGTCATGAACTTCTCATTTTTGATTAAATATTTTGCTTTTCATTTTTCCAACCAATACTATTGTGTAACCATGGAATATCCTTTTAAAAACTACTTATTCTGCCATGAAAATATGTTTAAAGTTCCTAGGAGTTCATAATTTTTAAATTTTCTCATTGAGGTAATATGTGTTTACATCATTGTCTGTATGCTGGAGTGATGGTATCCGCCTCTGGTTTTACTACCTCAGTGCTCTAGGACTTTAGAGCATACATGTGTGTTGTTCAACTGCAATATGAGTCTATCTCAGCTCACGCTCCGCCCACAGTGACCTGGTCCTATGCACCATTTATTAAAGACTGAGAAGCATTTATCACAGAGCGCAGTTCCTGACTTTACAGAACAGCAGATATGAAGGAGCAAAGAGTCACCTATGCAGACCTGAAGCTGGCAAAGGACTCAAAACGGCCACAAGTGAAACCTAAAGGGAGTAAAAGCTCCACTACTGGAACAGAGCAGGGGGTAACCTACGCAGAATTAAGTCTTCATAATGCTGCTCGGGATCCTCAGGAGAATGGCAAGTCCTGGCACCTCAAAGGTAAAACATTTGGTAGACACACTGCACAAGTATTCTCGGATATGAAGGGGTTGGAGGTGCACAAAGAATAGGGAATTAACTGACATGTTTTTCATTTATGTTTGGCATTGGAATATGGTAGTCTAGTAGGAAATCTGATGGCTATTTTTTCCCAGGTATTTTTATAATTTATAATTGTTGACAAACAACAATTAATGGATGTTTTGTTTACTAAAAAAGCAATGGTATACTCTGGGGGGAAGATTCCAGTGGGAGAAAGAGATCTCAGTGTTTCGTTTCTCTCCCTGCAGGCTTAGCTTCACCTCCAGAGAAGCTCATTGCTCGGATCTTGGGACTCACCTGCATTGTCTTGATATGCACTATTGTGCCAGTGTGGGTTATTTCCCGTAATTAAATTTATGAAAGTTTATATTGGAACTTTTCACGTAATAATTGTCAGTGCTTTTAAATATTTCATAGTATTAAGGAATAGAAATATTATGTTAATGTATCCTTTTAATTAATTGTTGAATGGTTATCCTCACCTTCTCAAAAGTACAAATATATAGAATGTTTGTAGAGATTATTTTGTGTAGATTCAGATATCATGATTCAAAGTCATGCTTCAGGATACTGAAATACTCTATTGAAAACTATGAAATGATTTTTGAAATTTGGTGACTACAGACTGTAGGAGATGGTGAAATTTGACTCTAACTTTTTGTGATATTTTCCCCCAAAGCTTTATTTTTTAATTAATTTTCTGGGAAAAAAACTTTATTATAGATTATTAATATAGCTAAATACTACATTACTAACTTTGAAATATTATACTAATTAATATTTACTTAGAACACTATTAATTTTTATTTTTCTAGTTCCTACAAAAAGCCAGAGCAGGATAATTTCTCCTCAGAGCACAATGATTCCCCAAACGTAACAAAGAGCGAGAAAGGTACACAATGATTTCCAAAATTCTGATCTTAGTACAGTTTGTATTATGTATATATGTTAAACTAGGTAATAATGGTAAGACATTTTCTTTTAGAACATGCATTATAAAATCAAATAATATGTGTTCATGAATAACGGTAATAGGAATGGTTCATTATATCCAACAACAGGAAGAAAATTCATTAGAACTTTCACACCCTTGTGGCCAATATTGGCTCATGTCCTGCTGCTATTACATGTATAAACAATGTTACTCTTAAAAAATGATTTTATTTACTATTTGTCAGGATATATACAGTGCATATTATTTGTGAGTTTGGTTCATATGGGCACCTCAATTATAGCATGAGAAGCTGCCCTTTCTCTGTGAGTGTGTGTTTTATGCTCCAGCTGTGAGGTGTGTGCATGTGTTAGGTACATTGATTATTCATATCTCGATGTGTATGTGATATGTCTAATTTTATTAACACAAAGAGTTTTAGGTAATAATTCATAATCTCTCTTCAGCCTGTCAATGTGGCCCTTGTCCAAAGGGGTGGTTTACATACTCCAACAACTGCTATTACTTTAGTGATGAAAAAAACACCTGGAATGAGAGTGTGACAGCCTGTCAGAATAAGAAGTCTCAGCTGCTCTACATAGACACTGAGGAAGAAATGGTAAGAATTGGTGTCCCAACCACTTTTTTAAAGACCTATTTTGGTCAATTTTATATTTATAGAATTCGTACATACTTTTGTACAAATTTGTAGTTTATTTGAAAGTTTGTATAACATTCCATTGTCTGATTTTGAGGATTTTACTGAGATGTCTGCCCCTTTAATGCACATTTAGAAAACCGAGTTCTTGGGTTTCTGAGAGAACCATATTTCCAATATATATATTATATGTATAATATATATGTGTGTGTGTATAAACTGAATGAAGATCACTGTTTCATACACATCAAGAAAGCCAAGAATATTGTGATTGGGCAAATGAATCACCAAGTGAATGAAAATTGTATCTGCAGAGCAGATCCTGAATAGAGTCCCAGCCCCCAATGCACCCCAGACACCCGGTCTGCTTTCTCTTCATGCCTGCTGTCTGGTTATTTAGCTACTGACTTGACTTTTAAATGCATAGATCTCTCTTCTTTTTTATGAACTGAAATGAAATCATGCGGTAGGTAGATACTTTTGTTCCTGTCTCGTCACTCCCCTACAATTTCTTGGTAATTCATCTACATTATTGCATTTATCTGCTCTTTGATAAATTTCACTGCAGAATTTTATTGTATAACATTTTAAAATCTATTCTGTTTAATGTCTCAGGTGTGGGATGTGAGTGTCATCTTCTCAGAGATATAGAAACTTCCAGAGTTCAACATTTTCAGTGATAGGATCCCCTTAATTGTCCCAGATCCACCCTCCCATCTCTGCTCATGTGTCCCTTGGTGCTGGGAGGTGAAGCATGTCCTGGCTGCTGACTGTTGTCACTTTCCTGAGGCATCACCCTTGTAAGGCTGCCTGCTGTTGCTGCACAGGACCCCTCACTTCCGGGGGAGAATGGCTGCCCCGAGCCTGCTCCTCTTACAGGTTCAGGCTGACGGTACGCAGGCCTAAGTCAGATTTTCCTTGTTCACATGACAAGAAGAGTGATGTCATTAAGTATAAATTAAGTATAAATGTTTAGGAGCTCATGTTATCCAATGATGATGTACTCATGAGAGTTGTGGCATCATGCATGATAGTTTTTAGCACACTGTGTGTATGTGTGTAAGATGGAGTCTGTCTCTTCCTTCTGAAAAAGTAGGATCTTGTGAAAGAACACATTTTTTTTTTTTTTAATGAAGCCTTTGATCATTCCTATGTAAGTGAAAATTTCCTGTTTCTATAGAAATTTATGCAATCCATATCAGTTTTGTCTTGGATTGGAGTCTACCGTAATGGCAGCAATCAAACATGGACGTTCATAAATGCATCAACTTTCCAACTAGAGTAAGTTTGCTTTAAATAATGTTATTGTTATAGTAGCATTAAAAATGCTATTGTTTCTTGGTTTTCCCAGCGTTATAGAACTTAGAAAAGGAAGGTATGAAAAGAAATGTAAGAAGAAAGATATTAGTGCATTTGATTTAAATTATGGACACGAAGAATCGTGCGGAATGCTAGTGGAATCCTGAAGAATATTGAAGAAAGGCCAATTCATTTGGTCTAACTTCCAACTCTTAGAAATATTCTATGAAAATTATCTTCATCCATTTCAAATTACACTTGTTTTGCAATTTAAAGCAATGCTTTTGTCTCTTAGTTTGCCCCAACATTATATAACTATATTTATATATTATATAATATATAACATTATATAACAATACCTCTTATTTATTACAGGATAAGAAAACCAGTACCTGTTAACCATCACTGTGTTATGCTACAATCTAAATATTATGCAGAAAATGTGAAGGTAAAAATATGTATTATTGCAAGCATAAGATTTAAATTAAAAAAAACAACTGGATTTATATGTGTAAATTTCCATTTCAAGAAACAAGTCTTATTATTGATTTTTTTTGTTCTAATGACTTTTTTTTCAAAATAATTATTGAAATACACTATGTTCAGCAAAATGTACAGATAACATTATTTTTGTGCCTGACATTTTTTATGGTGTTCAACCTTCAAAAAGATCATTTGTTGGCCTCCCCGGTGGTACAGTGGTCAAGCCCCATGCTGCAAAATTGTCTGCACCATCTGCAGCACAGGTTCAACACCCTGCCAGACAGGGAGAAACTCACATGGCGGGGCAGACCTCTCCTGCCTCCCCCGCTGCTCCCCTTAGCAGTGTCTATGATTCGTCTTCCTGTTCTGCTCCCCACTCTGTCTCTGGTGAATTCTCTCACTTTCCTTCCCTTCTGACCTGTACCCCAGTTCTTGCATAAATAAATTAATGAATCTTTTAAAAAAAAGATCATTTGTTGTGTGAGTCCAGTTATAAATAATGGCAAAATCATAGGTACAGCAAGTGGATTGGGTGGGATGAGGAACTGGCCACTGATTAGTTCCTTGTTTCTCTGTTTTTTTTTTTTTTTTTTTTTTTTTAGATTATTTGTGCACACAAAAACTGGGGTATAGGCCAGTGGTGTGGGGGGTGATAGGATTCACCAGTGACAGAGTAGTGAACAGAACAGGCAGATTGACTGAAACACACTGCTGAGGGGAGCAGTGGACTAGTCAGGAGAGGTTTGCTGTGCCATGTGTGTTATCTCCCTGGCCAGGGATCCAACTTGTGCTGCAGTGGCTGTGGATAGTTTCATAGGTTGTGTCTCAAGCCCCTGTACCACCAGGGAGGCCCCAGTTCCTTGTTTCTTTTTGAATTGATGGAACATTTTTCAGTGCTAAGAGTAGTGATGTTTTCAAACTCTGAAAAAGCTAAATGTCTTTGATCTATTCATTTTAAATGGCTGAATTTTATGCTTTATATATATCAATAAAGTTGTTTTTAAAAAATTATGTGATGACATTTGAGAACATTTAATGTTTAAAGCAATTTGGAGTCTAGTCATCTTTACCATATTTATTTTTTGAATCTACATTAACCTTAATCCTTTCTTAAATTCCATTTATTTTTCTCATTATGCTTTGCATTTTTACAGAGGACATAGGGAAATGATGTCATGCTTTAGTAATGACCCTTTATTTAAAAATGTCTGAAATATCTGTTAGGAATTTTTGGTGCTGTAAAAAGCAATATACCTGAAGTTGGCTTATTGATTTAGATGCAATGTGTTTTGCCAACTTTACATCTTAATTCTGTCAATCTAATATATAAATCTAATATTTGAATTATGAATTTTGATGTAAATAGTCATTTATTGTAAATAATCATACTTTGTTTCTTCTTTCCAAGTACAATTACTTTTTTTTTTTTTGAAATTTATTTATTTATGCATTCAAGAACTAGGATACAGGCCAGAAGTGCAGGGGTGAGAGGAATTCAGAGACAGAGCAGGGAACAGAACAGGTAGACAAACTGAAATACACTGCTGGGTGGATGAGTGGGCAAGACAGGAGAGGTCTGCTGGGCCTTGTGTGTAGCTCCCTGGCTGTCTGGGGATTGAACTGGTGCTGCAGTGGCTGGGGATAGCTTCACAGTGTTGTGCTTAACTTTATGCCACCAGGGAGGCCCACAATTACTTTTTTGAATTGGGTTATTGCAGATCAGATTTATATCCAATATTGAATAGTAGTTACTGTGATTAATCTCTATGTATTTCCATTTTCGGGAAAATATTTCAATATTCATTCTTAAATATGAAGTTCATTGTAACTTTTCCATCATCTCAAATTCATGTCATGCCATCACATTCTCATTTTTGTAATAGTTTTATACATTCGATGTTATGTTTTTATTCATTTTACATGAATTGGAATGAGAAACGTTTTCTTTGTAAAATGTTTATAAGTAAATTATCTTTATTTCTTTCAAAAATAAGATCATCTTGCATTTTTGTATTAAAACTATAGCAATCATTTGGTGTGTTTTTTCATCCATGTATATATTTTATTTAGATCAGCACATTTTTCTTTCTTATTTCACCGAAAGATTAGACTATATTTTATTCACATCTACCCATTTGACAGGTCTTATATCAAGGCTGCTGTAAAAAAGGATTTCTGTTTTTCTACTAGTTGGAAGACTTCATGTAGAAAAACTTTGGTGTTCGCCTGTCATTTTATTGCTGATATCATCTGAGCATGTAAACCTCCTTTAGGGGAGTTTTATGTAAAAACTCAGTAGCTCCAACACCTGTGAAGTTTCTTCAGTTAGAACTATTTGCTGTACAATTTTTGGGTGATTACATTTTGTACAATTTTTCTATTTCATATAGATATTAACATGTATTCATAATACTGGCTTTTTATCTAGTATACCTACTAAAAACTGTAAAGTGAGTCCTTCCTTATGTCTCAGGGGTTAGTCTCAGTGCTGTCAATCAATCCTCAAGAACTACACCCTGCGTTCTATCCCAGGCCAGGGAGCCAACTCACTTGGCAAAAAAGACCTTGTCTGCAATTCCACTCAGCAGTGGATTTCAGTAGATCTGCCTGTTCTGTTCCCCACTCTGTTTCTGGTGAATCCTCTCACCTCCTGTACTTCTAGCCAATAGCCCTTTATTTGTATGCATAAATAAATGAAATAAATCTTTTAAGAAACAAAAGCCACAATGGTTTTCTCATGCATAATCTAGGTACAAGAGACTTAGTTTCTCAATATTTTTCTTCAGTAGCATAAAGCTGGTATTAAGTTTTTACATGAGAATGAATTTGCTTTCTTCATGCTCTATAACAATTTTTTCTTTGTCATTTGTGCTATATATTTTTTCTTCTATTGTTTTAGACAATATTTTCTTCTTTTGGCTTTGCCATTTTCAGTTTCTTTGATGCATGCTCAGATTTCTGCCCTTTCAATTTTGAACAATATGTGCATCTAAGGCAATTTGAATTCAAAAGATAGAACATTACTTTCATATTTTCCTTCAAATTCATATGATGTTGTGAACATGCATTTCTATCATCTCTTTGACTCATAAAATAGACATATTACCATATTCAGAATCATGTAGGGATGTCATTTTTATGGTTACTCACTATTTTATTTGAATTCTGTTAGAGAATTTTCTTTTAAACTAGAATGTTTTACATTTCTTTTAATAATGAGTAGTGTGACTTTGTGCTTTAAAAACCTACTTTTTCTGTCCTCCAATTTTTTTGTTAAGTGACATTTTAAAAAATCAACTCTTCTTCCCCTCAACAGTTAGGGTTGGACTATTGTCATATTTACAACAAATATTCCTATGAAAACACAGACTTTTTGTAAGTAATCACTTGTTGATTATATTATCATTAGAGGATGAATCAATGAAAAGCATAAGGAGAAATTATTTAATATTTCAATCATGGTATGGTGATATAATTCAATCCTTTTGAAAGCTTTATCATGCCAAGAGACAATTTTTATCAATGGAAATCTAAACAACTGTACGAATTAAAAATTGAATGCAGTGAAATAGAGAAGTAATCTTGGAAACTGGTGATCAAGGGACTATTGTAATAAAGTTGAAAATGTAATTCTTCAGAATATTAGTAACATCTTACTTAATATATATTACTCAGGAGATTATGGTTTTAGAATGTTTCCATTAAAATAGAATTGACATGTGAGAGTATGAGAAAAGGATATGTAATGCCAATATTCAGCAACCTTGTCTAACAGTGAAACATCTACTATAAACTTAACTATAGTTTTCATGTGTTTGTGGTTGAGATGGAAGCAATTTAGCAGCCAAGTATGGTAAAGTCTTTTGTCCCCTGATATCTTTTAGAATAGGAACACACTTTCTTAGAGGCATTTGTCAATGGACACACTAAATGACACCCAACAAGTTCAGTCTTCTCTGCTCTGGAGGTGTGTGATGAGAAACTGCCTTCACAATAGCTAGGATTTCCTGTTCAAGTTTTAAGTTACACTTTGGCAAGAAATCTACTTTTTTCCAGTGTTGTTTCACTCTGCAGCTTCATAGGAGAGTCTCTGTAAACCACAGATGTTGTTTCTTTCCATGAGTAACCAGGTCACCCACTAGAGGATACTCCACTCTTTGATCAAGAGAAGGTATGTGTTTCTACTTTCCTGTTTCTCTACCAGCTCATGTCATTGATCACAAATGCTGTATATGATACAACAATTGCTGTGCAATCAAATTATATAGAATTTTGGTATTTGTATTGAATAATTTAGGGTGGGAAAATAAGCATAAATATCAAACATATTATAGGTTATCTTAAATATTCATGTGCCTTACTGTGGAGAATTCCTCAAGTGCATATATACAAGGATAATTGGGTTTTTAAATCAATACAGTCTTGTCGAAATCCCATAAAGATCGTGACATGGAGTAGTTTATCTGGAGTTTGCAATCAGTACAGATATAATTTTATATATTATTTATTGTTAAGTCCAGCCTTTGAACATAGATTCTTAAAATTATATCATTTAATTCTCAAGATCAAAAGTAATACCTCATACATTTTCTTAATCTTAGTAAAACTAATTCAATTGTTCATACAAATGAGAATGAAGTAGTACATAAAATTCTAACTTACTTATAAATTATCAATTTTTTTTTTGTTTTTAATTGAGCTACACTTATCCAAAACGATACACAGCACTGATAAAGAGACTTGTCTCAGGAACTATGTTATATGGTCTTACTGATAAGAATCAGAAATATTATTTCAGTTTGTCAGAACAATAATTAAAATAACTGACTTTGAGAGCTTAGAAAGGGCAGGTTGAATGTTAAGTGTTCTACATGTATAGCATATATGTGTTTATTCCAGTTTTAGATTTGTAAGCAAAATCAGTACACTCTATGTAAATTTTGTAGGTTTCAAAGCCAGGATTAATTTTAGATTCCACACGCTGGGGAGCTCATTGATTCATTTATTAAATTGCATTATCTGATTTATTACAATTACAATCCTTCTGGAAGTTTGAACCAACAGCGTTGCCCCCTAAATGATTTTTATCACTTTTTACATTTTTATCTTTTCTATTCACTCATTAACCAACTTCTTGCATAAAATAAATGTCATTTCAAAATCTTTGCCTTGTCAATATTGTTTAGAATTTCAAGAAGTTAAATGTGACATTTTCTATATAGTAAATATTCCTCAAAATTTTAATGATTTCTTAGAACTCTACGCTATTTTGAGAAAAATAGCATATTTTAACCTATTGTCTCTTTTAATAATAAATGTTATTCAGAATATAAAGGTAATTTAAAGCAGGAAATTAATACATATTTAACACAACTGCTACACACTACCGAATGTCAGTCTAAATATTAATAGATGTAAAAATTGTAAAAGTTAGCACATCTAATACAGCACTTTAAGACAGTTATTCTGATAATTTCAAAATGTTTTGTATGATATGATTTTAAATTGGTCTGGATGTTATTATATTTGAACTTTATGCCATTGACATATGGTCTTCTATTCCCCCATCCATTTGAATTGTGTGAAAAATAAAATTTTTAAAAAATTATTGTATATTATGCAACACATTTTAGCTGTAAGGAAATTTTAACCTGACTTGTCCATTATTCAACTACAATATGAGTTTATTGCTCTACATGCTCCGCCCATGTGACTATACTAGGGATATGGTCATCATGTTCAGCTTTAGTAAGGACTTGCCTGCAGCTATAGGAAAGTACCTCCCTGATACTACTCAGCTTCGAGGATGAATGACCAAACAGAGAAATACCCAGAGGTGAATCTGGCCCCAAGGGGACAACAAATGAAAGGTAAGGGCACATAAAGCTCCACTTCATTGACAAGTACTACGCGTGCAAAGAGAAAAAATTTAATAGAAACCTGTGTAACTATTCTGGGCTGTATGATTGGGGTGCCGGTGTCTGAAAAGAGTAGGGGATATGTTCACAAATTTTCTCATGTGAGAGTTGGAGCTTAAAATATGTTATTGTATTTTTTTAAGATTTATTTATTTATGCATACATGAACTGGGGTACAGTCCAGAGGTGTGGGGAGCAAGAGGATTCACCAGAGACAAAGTGGAAAAAAATAGAACAGGCAGATTGACTGAAATACACTGCTGAGGGGAGCAGAGGGTGAGGCAGGAGAGGTCTGCTGCCCCATGTGAGTTGCTCCCTGGGCTGCCGGGAATCAAAGTCGTGCTGCAGATAGCTTTGCTTAATTCCTTGCTCCACCAGGGCACCCCTGACCATGTATTCTAATCTGAAATGTGAGGACTAATTTAGTTCCTGCATTGTTGGAAGCTGGAATCTTTGATAACATCTCATAGAGCATTATGTTTACTGAAAATGCAGCATATTCTGGAGGCAAGATTACAATGGGAGATGTGGACTTGGGATCCAACCTTCCATACATGACTCCTTGTGCAGGTGGGTTTCATGTCTGTAAACTGTCAACATTTGTCTCCCTTTTTTCTCAGTGTTTCCATTTCTCTCCCAGCAGCCTCACCATTACCTCCAGGGCAGATTGCTGCTGAGGTCCTGGGGATCGTCTTCCTGGTCTTGGTGTCCAGTGTAGTAAAAACTGTAGTCCTTATTCCTGGTAAGAAAATTTTGAAAGGTTATAAGGGACAAAGTTTGCACTTGATGGTTACCAGTGCTATAAAATTTTCAGACATTAAGGACAAAATTCATTTTTATCGTATGGTTTTAATTAAGTGTTGAAGACTTGTTCTGAATGTGTCGAAGTGTAATATGCAGAATGATTATGGAGAGTATTTTATAGATTCATCTATTATGATTAAAAGACATGCTTTAGGAAACTGAAAGACCAATTGAGAACTATGAATTTATTTTGTAGAACTGGTAACCGCATTCTGTAGAAGTTAAAATTTGACTCTAAATTTTTGTGATATTTTCTCCCAAAGGTTTATTCTACTAGTTTTTCAGAAACTCAACTTTATTATTATAATTATATTATAATTGTAACTCTATGAACTTACATTTCTAATTTTGAAATATTAAATAGGTTATTAATTACTTAGAACTTTAATTTTTACAAGGATTCTTTTATTTTTCTAGCTGCTACTAAAGAGCCAGAGCAGTATGATTTCTACTCAAAGCAGAATGAATGCCCAAATGTAACAAAGAGTGAGAAAGGTACAAAATGATTTCCAAATTTCTGATGTTAGCACAGTTTATATTATGTATATATGTTAAACTAGGTAATAATGGTAAGACATTTTCTGTTAGAACATGCATTATAAAATCAAATGATATGTGTTCATGAATAACAGTAATAGGAATGGTTCATTATATCCAACAACAGGAAGAAAATTCACTTAGAACTTTCACACCCTTGTGGCCAATATTGGCTCATGTACTGCTGCTATTACATGTATAAACAATGTTACTCTTAAAAAATGATTTTATTTAATTTGTCAGGATATATACAGTGCATATTATTTGTGAGTTTGGTTCATATGGGCACCACAATTATAGCATGAGAAGCTGCCCTTTCTCTGTGAGTGTGTGTTTTATGCTCCAGCTGTGAGGTGTGTGCATGTGTTAGGTACATTGATTATTCATATCTCCATGTGTATGTGATATGTCTAATTTTATTAACACAAAGAGTTTTAGGTAATAATTCATAATCTCTCTTTAGCCTGTCATTGTGGCCCTTGTCCAAAGGGGTGGTTTACATACTTCAACAACTGCTATTACTTTAGTGATGAAAAAAACACCTGGAATGAGAGTGTGACGGCCTGTCAGGATAAGAATTCTCAGCTGCTCTACATAGACACTGAGGAAGAAATGGTAAGAATTTTGGTGTCCCAACCACTTTTTAAAGACCTATTTTGGTCAATTTTATATTTATAGAATTCGTGCATACTTTTGTACAAATGTGTAGTTTATTTGAAAGTTTGTATGACATTCCATTGTCTGATTTTGAGGATTTTACTGAGATGTCTGCCCCTTTAATGCACATTTAGAAAACCGAGTTCTTGGGTTTCTGAGAGAACCATATTTCCAATATATATATTATATGTATAATATATATGTGTGTGTATATAAACTGAATGAAGATCACTGTTTCATACACATCAAGAAAGCCAAGAATATTGTGATTGGGCAAATGAATCACCAAGTAAATGAAAATGGTATATGCAGAGCAGATCCTGAATAGAAGTCCCAGCCCTCAGTACACCCCAGACACCCGGTCTGCTTTCTCTTCATGCCTGCTGTCTGGTTATTTAGCTACTGACTTGACTTTTAATTTCATAGATCTCTCTTCTTGTTTATGAAATGAAATGAAATCATGCAGTAGGTAGATACTTTTGTTCCTGTCTCATCACTCCCCTACAATTCCTTGGTAATTCATCTACATTATTGCATTTATCTGCTCTTTGATAAATTTCACTGCAGAATTTTATTGTATAACATTTTAAAATCTATTCTGTTTAATGTCTCAGGTGTGGGTTGTGAGTGTCATCTTCTCAGAGATATAGAAACTTCCAGAGTTCAGTATTTTCAGTGATAGGATCACCTTAATTGTCCCAGATCCACCCTCCCATCTCTGCTCATGTGTCCCTTGGTGCTGGGAGGTGAAGCATGTCCTGGCTGCTGACTGTTGTCACTTTCCTGAGGCATCACCCTTGTAAGGCTGCCTGCTGTTGCTGCACAGAACCCCTCACCTCAGGGGGGAATGGCTGCCCCGAGCCTGCTCCTCTTATAGGTTCATGCTGACTGTACGCAGGCCTAAGTTAGATATTCCTTGTTCACATGACAAGAAGTGTGATGTTATTAAGTATAAATGTTTAGGAGCTCATGTTATCCAATGATGATGTACTCGTGAGAGTTGTGGCATCATGCACGATAGTTTTTAGCACACTGTGTGTATGTGTGTAAGATGGAGTCTGTCTCTTCCTTCTGAAAAGTAGGATCTTGTGAAAGAACACATTTTTTGTTTTTTAAAAAATGAAGCCTTTGATCATTCCTATGTAAGTGAAAATTTCCTATGTTTCCACAGAAATTTATGCAATCCATATCAGTTTTGTCTTGGATTGGAGTCTACCGTAACGGCAGCAATCAAACATGGACATTCATAAATGCATCAACTTTCCAACTAGAGTAAGTTTGCTTTAAATAATGTTATTGTTATAGTAGCATTAAAAATGCTATTGTTTCTTGGTTTTCCCCAACGTTATAGAACTTAGAAAAGGAAGGTATGAAAAGGAATGTAAGAAGAAAGATATTAGTGCATTTGATTTAAATTATAGACATGAAGAATCGTACTGAATGATAGTGGAATCCTGAGAATATTGAAGAAAGGACAATTCATTTGGTCTAACTTCCAAGTCTTAGAAATATTCTATGAAAATTATCTTCATCCATTTCAAATTACACTTGTTTTGCAATTTAAAGCAATGCTTTTGTTTCTTAGTTTGCCCCAACATTATATAACTATATATATATTATATAATATATAACATTACATAACAATGCCTCTTATTTATTACAGGATAAGAAAACCAGTACCTGTTAACCATCACTGTGTTATGCTACAATCTAAATATTATGCAGAAAAATGTGAAGGTAAAAATATGTATTATTGCAAGCATAAGATTTAAATTAAAAAAAACAACTGGATTTATATGTGTAAATTTCCATTTCAAGAAACAAGTCTTATTATTGATTTTTTTTGTTCTAATGACTTTTTTTTCAAAATAATTATTGAAATACACTGTGTTCAGCAAAATGTACAGATAACATTATTTTTGTGCCTGACATTTTTTATGGTGTTCAACCTTCAAAAAGATCATTTGTTGGCTTCTCCAGTGGATAGTGGTCAAGCCTCATGCTGCAAAATTGTCTGCACCATCTGCAGCGCAGGTTCAACACCCCGCCAGACAGGGAGAAACTCACATGGCGGGGCAGACCTCTCCTGCCTCCCCCGCTGCTCCCCTTAGCAGTGTCTTTGGTCCGTCTTCCTGTTATGCTCCCCACTCTGTCTCTGGTGAATTCTCTCACCTTCCTTCCCTTCTGACCTGTACCCCTTGCATAAATAAATAAATCTTTAAAAAAAAAGATCATTTGTTGTGTGAGTCCAGTTATAAATAATGGCAAAATCATAGGTACAGCAAGTGGATTGGGTGAGATGAGGAACTGGCCACTGATTAGTTCCTTGTTTCTCTGTTTTTTTTTTGTTTTGTTTTTTTGTTTGTTTTTTTTTAGATTATTTGTGCACACAAAAACTGGGGTATAGGCCAGCGGTGTGGGGGGTGATAGGATTCACCAGTGACAGAGTAGTGAACAGAACAGGCAGATTGACTGAAACACACTGCTGAGGGGAGCAGTGGACTAGTCAGGAGAGGTTTGATGTGCCATGTGTGTTATCTCCCTGGCCAGGGATCCACTTGTGCTGCAGTGGCTGTGGATAGTTTCATAGGTTGTGTCTCAAGCCCCTGTACCACCCGGGAGTCCCCAGTTCCTTGTTTCTTTTTGAATTGATGGAACATTTTTCAGTGCTAAGAGTAGTGATGTTTTCAAACTCTGAAAAAGCTAAATGTCTTTGATCTATTCATTTTAAATGGCTGAATTTTATGCTTTATATATCCCAATAAAGTTGTTTTAAAAAAATTTTGTGATGACATTTGAGAACATTTAATGGTTAAAGCAATTTGGAGTCTAGTCATCTTTACCATATTTATTTTTTGAATCTACATTAACCTTAATCCTTCCTTAAATTCCATTTATTTTTCTCATTATGCTTATATTTTTACAGAGGACATAGGGAAATGATGTCATGCTTTAGTAATGATCCTTTATTTAAAAATGTCTGAAATATCTGTTAGGAATTTTTGGTGCTGTAAAAAGCAATATACCTGAAGTTGGCTTATTGATTTAGATGCAATGTGTTTTGCCAACTTTACATCTTAATTCTGTCAATCTAATATATGAATCTAATATTTGAATTATGAATTTTGATGTAAATAGTCATTTATTGTAAATAATTCTTCTTTCCAAGTACAACTACTTTTTTTTTTTTGAGATTTATTTATTTATGCATTCAAGAACTAGGATACAGGCCAGAAGAGCAGGGGTGAGAGGAATCACCAGAGACAGAGCAGGGAACAGAACAGGCAGACAGACTGAAAACTACTGCGGGGTGGATGAGTGGGCAAGACAGGAGAGGTCTGCTGGGCCTTGTGTGTAGCTCCCTGGCTGTCTGGGGATTGAAGTTGTGCTACAGTGGCTGGGGATAGCTTCACAGTGTTGAGCTTAACCTTATGCCACCAGGGAGGCCCACAATTACTTTTTTGAATTGGCTTATTGCACATCAGTTTTATATCCAATATTGAATAGTAGCTATGTGATTAATCTCTATGTATTCCCATTTTGGGGAAAATATTTCAATATTCATTCTTAAATATGAAGTTCATTGTAACTTTTCCATCATCACTCTCAAATTCATGTCATGCCATCACATTCTCATTTTTGTAATAGTTTTATACGTTTGATGTTATGTTTTTATTCATTTTGCATGAATTGGAATGAGAAATGCTTTCTTTGTAAAATGTTTATAAGTAAATTATCTTTATTTCCTTCAAATATAAGATCATCTTGCATTTTTGTAATAAAACTACAGCAATCATTTGGTGTGTTTTTTATCCATGTATACATTTTATTTAGATCAGCACATTTTTCTTTCTTATTTCACCAAAAGATTAGACTATATTTTATTCACATCTACCCATTTGACAGGTCTTATATCAAGGCTACTGTAAAAAAGGATTTCTGTTTTTCTACTAGTTGGAAGCCTTCGTGTCGAAAAACTTTAGTGTTCACCTGTCATTTCATTGCTGATATCATCTGAGCATGTAAACCTGCTTTAGGAGAGTTTTATGTAAAAACTCGGTAGCTCTAACACCTGTGAAGTTTCTTCAGTTAGAACTATTTGCTGTACAATTTTTGGGTGATTGCATTTTGTACAATTTTTCTATTTCATATAGATATTAAAATGTATTCATAATACTGGCTTTTTATCTGGTATACCTACTAAAAACTGTAAAGTGAGTCCTTCCTTATGTCTCAGGGGTTAGTCTCAGTGCTGTCAAGCAATCCTCAAGAAACTATACCCTGCGTTCTATCCCAGGCCAGGGAGCAAACTCACTTGGCAAAGAAGACCTCGCCTGCAACTCCACTCAGCAGTGGATTTCAGTAGATCTGCCTTTTCTGCTCCCCACTCTGTTTCTGGTGAATCCTCTCACCTCCTGTACTTCTAGCCAACAGCCCTTTATTTGTATGCATAAATAAATGAAATAAATCTTTTAAGAAACAAAAGCCACAATGGTTTTCTCATGCATAATCTAGATACAAGAGACATAGCTTCTCAATATTTTTCTTCAGTAGCATAAAGCTGGTATTAAGTTTTTACATGAGAATACATTTGTTTTCTTCATGCTCTTTAACAATTTTTTCTTTGTCATTTGTGCTATACATTTTTTTCTTCTGTTTTTTTAGACAATATTTCCTTCTTTTGGCTTTGCCATTTTCAATTTCTTTGATGCATGCTCAGATTTCTGCCCTTTCAATTTTGAACAATATGTGCATGTAAGGCAATTTGAATTCAAAAGATAGAATATTACTTTCATATTTTCCTTCAAATTCATATGATGTTGTGAACATGCATTTCTATCATCTCTTTGACTCATAGAATAGACATATCACGATATTCAAAATCATGTAGGAATTTCATTTTTATGGTTACTCACTATTTTATTTGAATTCTGTTAGAGAATTTTCTTTTAAACTAGAATGTTTTACAATTCTTTTAATAATGAGTAGTGTGACTTTGTGCTTTAAAAACCTACTTTTTCTGTCCTTCAATTTTTTGGTTAAGTGACATTTTAAAAAATCAACTCTTTTTCCCCTCAACAGTTAGGGTTGGACTATTGCCATATTTACAACAAATATTCCTATGAAAACACAGACTTTTTGTAAGTAATCACTTGTTGATTATATTATCATTAGAGGATGAATCGATGAAAAGCATAATGAGAAATTATTTAATATTTCAATCATGGAATGGTGATATAATTCAATCCTTTTGAAAGCTTTATCATGCCAAGAGACAATTTTTATCAATGGAAATCTAAACAATTGTAATTCTTCAGGATATTAGTAACATCTTACTTAATATATATTACTTAGGAGATTATGGTTTTAGAATGTTTACATTATAATAGAATTGACATGTGAGAGTATGAGAAAAGGATATGTAATGCCAATATTCAGCAACCTTGTCTAACAGTGAAACATCTACTATAAACTTAACTACAGTTTTTGTGTGTTTGTGGTTGAGATGGAAGCAATTAGCAGCCAAGTATGGTAAAGTCTTTTGTCCCCTGATATCTTTTAGAATAGGAACACACTTTCTTAGAGGCATTTGTCAATGGACACACTAAATGACACCCAACAAGTTCAGTCTTCTCTGCTCTGGAGGTGTGTGATGAGAAACTGCCTTCACAATAGCTAGGATTTCCTGCTCAAGTTTTAAGTTACACTTTGGCAAGAAATCTACCTTTTTCTAGTGTTGTTTCACTCTGCAGCTTCATAGGAGAGTCTCTGTAAACCACAGATGTTGTTTCTTTCCATGAGTAACCAGGTCACCCACTAGAGGATACTCCACTCTTTGATCAAGAGAAGGTGTGTGTTTCTACTTTCCTGTTTCTCTACCAGCTCATGTCATTGATTACAAATGCTGTTTATGATACAACAATTGCTGTGCAATCAAATTATATAGAATTTTGGTATTTTTATTGAATAATTTAGGTTGGGAGAATAAGCATAAATATGAAACATATTATACGTTATTTTAAATATTCATGTGCTTTACTGTGGAGAATTCCTCAAGTGCATATATACAAGGATAATTGGGTTTTTAAATCAATACACACTTGTCAAAATCCCATAAACATGGTGACATGGAGTAGTTTATCTGGAGTTTGCAATCAGTACAGATATAATTCTATATATGATTTATTGTTAAGTCCAGCCTTTAAACATAGATTCTTAAAATTATATCATTTAATCCTCAAGGTCAAAAGTAATACCTCATACATTTTCTTAATCTTAGTAAAACTAATTCAATTGTTAATACAAATGAGAATGAAGTAGTACATAAAATTCTAACTTACTTATAAAGTATCAAAATTTTTTTGTTTTTAATTGAACTACACTTATCCAAAACGATACACAACACTGATAAAGAGACTTGTCTCAGGAACTATGTTATATAGTCTTACTGATATGAATCAGAAATATTATTTCAGTTTGTCAGAACAATAATCAAAATAACTGACTTTGAGAGCTTAGAAAGGGCAGGTTGAATGTTAAGTGTTCTACATGTATAGCATATATGTGTTTATTCCAGTTTTAGATTTGTAAGCAAAATCAGTACACTCTATGTAAATTTTGTAGGTTTCAAAGCCAGGATTAATTTCAGATTCCACACTCTGGGGAGCTCATTGATTCATTTATTAA